TTTGCAGATTGTGCAAAGTGTCCACATACACACACACGCACACACATGCACTTTGCTCTGCTAAAATATTTTTCTTATATGTACAGACTTGCAAGGACTATGCCACTGAAGATCGGAGATCACTGAAGATCATTTGCCAGCACCTAAAGTGAGGCCCTGGGCCAGTACACCAGCTCTACAGAACCCCAGGGACACTCACGCAAGTGCACGCCCAGAGTCCAGTACCTGTAGATGAGGCCAGGCTGCTTCTAACGTTGGTTCATCTTCCTCTGGGTCAAATTCTGCTCCCGTGGGATTGGAGGAAGGTGGTAATGTTCGAAACATGTTAACTGCAAACTAAAATCCACATATTCTATAATTACAACCAGGACATTAAAAATATTTACAGAGAACATTATTAAAAGTGTTAAATAATTCTAATAATAGCTGCTTCCTGTGGTAATGAGGCTCGTCCTTATCCTCGAAATCAGAAGCAGAGTGGATCCCCAAAGGGAGCCTGGGTCAAAACTGCAGGATGAAACAGGTCCCCACAGGCAGGTGACCACTAAAGTCATTTTGACAACTGGCACCAACAAATGTCGACAGGGCAGCGAGGACTTCTGAGGTCTTATTACATCCAGTGAGTGCAAGAGCAAGGAGAATGTCTAAAAAGCTGGAAGGAAAAGGTGAGACGATGGGGCAGCGGCAGAGACTGAGACCTGCAGATGGCAAGTGAACGGCAGATGCTGCACTGCACGGAGGTAACCGGGGTGGCAGTGACACCAAAGTCCTCTGCAATCAACGATGATGAGAAGAGCAACCGTTGAGATGCAGCAGCTCCCGAGGCGGCTGGAGGCTGCTGGGGGTGAAAGGCTGCTTGTGAGCACGGGCAGCGGCGTCCGAGGACAGCCCGGCCCGGCGGTGCATCTGGGGGCTGCTGGTTAAGTTTCTCTTAGCCTGCTTGGACTTGCACAACACACCTTGTTAGACCAGTGATATTAAACATAAAAGCTCAGTTTTTCTCTATCATGCATTTATAACCTATTTTTCTGTTGCAGTAAGCTTAAATATGATCAGTTACCTTACTGAATCTTTGAACCCCTCAAATGCCAGTTATAGAACTGAGCTCTGGTCTTACAGATGACCAGAAAAGCTCTGACCTACACTCTCAAAAACACAAAGTCAAAACACCTGACATAAAACATAAAACCTGAGTCCACTACAATAGTATCTACGGACAGCCGGGGCTGACCTGGCTGTTCAGACACCTGGTCCAGCCTGGTACTCCACGCCACCCGCTTTGCTTCTTCCTTTCTTTACTGTTACTGAGCCTGGACTCCAAACCTTGCCATCATCTTTTGTGACGTCATCAGCTACAAAAGCCCTGAGCATCAAATGTTTGTTCTCTGTTGTTCGTGAGAGAACCTGATGTAGAGAACAGCTGCGATGGGTGGGGGGATGGTACAGGAATGGAAGGACGGAATAAAGGTTGGAAATCCAGAAAAAATTAATTAAAAAAACTTTTAGTAAAATATGAGTAATATTCCCAAGATGTAAGTAGAAAGAAAACAAGTTTGGAATTTAAAACCCTGAGTGTCAATGTGGCTCTTACTGGTGTATGATCTCCAGCAATTTCTACTCTCTGGGGACCGGAGTCCTCCTTGGTGTATATATATGGCACTGTAAGAGGTCCCCTCAAACAACAGGTGGTTAATGAACAGACTGGCAGGCGTTGCCAGGTGCACAGGGCACTTCCTCAGTCACTGGCCCACAGGCACTCAGAGCAGACAGGGGATGAGGGCAGGGAGGGGACTTCTCTTGGCACCCTGATCCCAAAGCTCACAGATGAGAACAAGGAAATGCTAAGAGCCCAACTACTACGGGAAGGCCATGCACACCTGGCAGGCCACCATCTCCTCCCAGGGCTTTCAGAGCAGCAGCAGAACTGGCCCTGTCACAACCAGCCACTGCCCCGAGTTCCCCATACCTTTCCAGACCATGAAAGTGCAGAGAGAGTGAAGTCAGAACTGAGTCTCAGCCCTTGTGGGGAGTGTGGCAGCCATAAACTGGTATTCTTTATCCTCTCCCCCAAAGCCAAATGATTCAGGGGGAGGTGGCCCCAGTCACCTGGAGATTAGGGTCACCCTCAAGAGAGTGAGACAGCACTTTGCTCTGTGGTGGGCCAGAGCTGTGGGCCCAGCTGGGTGGGCAGAGGGCAACATGGGGCAGAGGTGCTGTGAGCATAGACTACGCCCAGCAGGAGACTTCAGGAGCAGCCTGTGACATCAGGGCCTGAGGGGACTGTGGTGCTGTATAGCTGGAAGGAAAACATGGCCATTCTCTCCAAGGTTCCTGGGGCTGCATGTCAGGGATGCAGAGGCCAGAGGCAGAGCGCGAGCTGTGGGCCACCCAGGAAACTGCCCAGGGAGGGGTCAGCTCGCCCAGAGAGAAGGCTGGAGGCCTGGAGGAAGGGGAGGCGCTGCCCCCCTGGGAGAGGATCTTCAGTGAAGCTGAACACTGTCCAAAGGTCAGAGACACACCATATAGGAAGGGACCACCACACTGGCAGGGGCAAGAGGCAGCAACAGAGCACACAAATGGGCAGCGGCCTCCACCCCTGCTCTGGCTTCAGCTCTCGAAGCCTGAGAGGAGGGAGGGGGCACGAGGGGCTGGAGCCTCCCTGCTCCTTCCACTTCCAGTCCCTCCCTGGCTAGGTCACCCACGGGGAGGCACAGACGAGATTCAGAGTCTGAGATGAAAGCTTTAAATGAGATTGGACTTCTATAACCAGAGACGACTTAAAAGTTAAGCAATTTGCTAGAGACGTATTTAGGGGCAGGAAAGTGTGATCTAACAGATCCTGATAAAGGCAATAGTTGAAAACAGTGAAATGCACCCCCAGTGGGATGGCTAGTCTATGTGTCAACTTGGCTGGGCTGGAGCATCCGGT